CTACGAAACCGCCAAGTAGTTCGACTCCTTCCTCTACTGTTAGCAGTACGACCACGTCTGAAACGTCGACTCCCTCAGAAACTCCGAAAACTCCTCAATTTACCATCACCGTTGAAACATCTGGTACAACGTTGTCTCCGTCTGTATCGAGTACTTTTAGTACATCTATTTCTGCCAGTTCTACTGAAATTTCTACCTCATCCAGTACTTCCAGTTCTTCTAACACATCTGCAAATCCTAGCATGCCTAGTATCTCTAGCACGTCTGGTATATCTAGCACTTCTTCTGGTACATCTAACATTTCTAGCATGCCTACTACTATTGGTTCTTCTACAGGTATTTTCTCTTCTGGTTCTAGTTGTATATTCCAAATATATTACTTGACTTATTTTGATAAGTATTAAATATCGTTTTCCAGAATCTCCTGAAACACCTGCACCAGGTACATGCACTTCAGAAGGATTCTTCCCTGATCCTCGAGACTGTCGGAAATTTTACCGTTGCGTGGGCAGTGATGGGCGATTCATTAAATACGAGTTCGAATGTGGTAGTGGAACAGCTTGGGATCCCACTATTGAAAGTTGTAATCATGATTATCTCGTTCCTAGTTGTAACAAAACAGCTAGTTCTACAGGAACTACAGATTCCAGTTCATCGAGCACTGCAAGTGTATCGGAAACTCAGACGAGTACACTGTCACCAATCCCACCGTCAAGCACTTCATCACCTTCATCAACTTCTCCGCCAAGTACGAGCTCACCTGTCAGCGTAACTACTATTACTTCATCAAGCGTTTCAAGTACATCAACTAGTCGTCCTGCTGAATCGACAACGCCAGGAATCACGGAATCAGTTTCCACATTGCCACCCGAAAGCAGTATTCCAACTAGCACTCCAACTAGTCGACCCTCTGAATCCACAGCACCAATTATTACGGACTCGGTTACCACGTTGCTTCCAGGAAGCAGTGTTACAGCTAGCACTTCAACGACAACTACTAGTAGTACATCTCCCGGCTCTTCATCGGAATGCACGGAAGAAGGATTCTTCCCTGATCCTCGAGACTGTCGGAAATTTTACCGTTGCGTGGGCAGTGATGGGCGATTCATTAAATACGAGTTCGAATGCGGTGCTGGAACTGCTTGGGACCCAACTATTCAAAGTTGTAATCACGATTATCTCGTTCCTAATTGCAATCGATCAACTCCATCCGGCCCACCGGAAACTACGCAAACGAGTCAGTCAAGTACTCAGACAGAGCCTGTACCGTCAGGTACAGCTCCTACATCAACCAGCCCTCCGGCAACACCTTCATCAACTACTCGTCCAGGAACAACGTCACCAACCAGTCCCACAATATCATCAATTAGTACAGAAACAACCACTGGAGGCATTACACCTCCGCCGACATCGGAATGCCCAGGTGATGGTTTCTTCCCGAATCCGGACGATTGTACGAAATTCTATCGCTGCGTAGCTACTGATAAAGGATACACGAGATACGATTTCGTTTGTCCACCTGGAACAGCGTGGGACCAAAACATCCAGACTTGTAATTACAAAGATCAGGTAGCTTCGTGCGCAGGACAAGGAACCACAGGCACCACTTCAGAAACGCCAACGAAGACACCATCCAATTCTGAAAGTACTACTTCGACTACACCTGCTGGAACCAGTGTTTCATCTGTGGTCTCTTCCACTGGACCTCCAACTTCGACAACTGTCGCCACCGTATCTACTGCGTCCACCGCTTCATCTTCGTTAAAGCCTTCCACAACATCTAGTACGCAGTCCTCAAACCCTTCGCCTACTCCTGAAACCAGTTCTTCAGTCTCGACTTCTACCGAATCGAACGTTACACAACCTTCGACAGAATCGACAGTTCCATGCACTACAAAGAAGCCTAATAATACGATAGTCTGCGAAAAAGAAGGATTCTATCCAGACCCGGTAGAATGTAATAAATTCTATCGCTGCGTGGACAATGGGAACGGTTTCAACGTGTACAATTTCACCTGCGGCCCGGGCACCATATTCGACCCCAGCATCAACGTCTGCAATCATCCTGAATCAGTGTATCCGCCTAGAGATTGCATGATGCCTACAACGTCTGCAGGGTCTAGTACAGAACCGTCGACTACTCCCAGTGGAGGTACCGAATCTACGACTGAATCGAAAGGAACCGAATCCACGACAACTACTACGAGCGAAGGATCCACTTCTCCAGCCACTACCTCGTCCACATCAGAAGGAACTACGACCTCAGAAATACCGCCGACGTCTACGGAATCCACATCCGAAGCGACCACCGAATCTACCTCTGAGCCGACAACCGAATCCACGACCGAAGCAACTACGGAATCCACTTCTGAACCAACTACGGAATCTACGTCCCAAGCCACTGAATCGACGACAACAGAATCTACCTCGGAATCGACGACTTCAGCAACTACCGAGAGCACGTCCGAAGCTACTACTGAATCCACCTCCGAGGCAACTACCGAATCGACAACAGAAGCGACGACGGAGTCGACCTCCGAGGCAACAACCGAATCCAGCACTCCAGTAACGACGGAGTCGAGCACCGAAGGATCTACCGAAAGTACCTCGGAACAGAGTACAGAAAGTACTGAGGAATCGACTGAATCCAGTACGGAGTCTTCCAGCACGTCACCAGATTTCCCGATTTGTCCGATCGCGAACTTAACAGACGAACAAATACCTCTTGTTTGCCCAACGGGATTCCGAAGGCATCCGAAGTACTGCGGTCTATTCTACCAGTGTACCACGTCGGGCGTTATGGACGTCAGAGTGCTTATGTTGCAATGCCCAACCGGTACCGTCTATGACGAGGAGAAGATCCAATGTGTGCCTGAAAGCGAGAGCAGCCAGCCGTGTCGAGGGCTCAGGTCTACCGGACGATTCCTTAGTAGAAGATTAGCGGATAACTCCATATCTCCCGTAAGTATCTGAACCAGTAATTTCCAAAATATTATGGTAAGGCAGATTTTATTAGAAGGTTTTACGATTATAAATGATGATTTTCTTCTTTTTTAGATAATGGTATCCACTAAGCAAATTTGTCCGGAAGAGGGACACTTCCCCTACACACCAGGTTGCAGCGGCGCGTTTTATAACTGTGTACGGGATGCCAGAGACAGTCTACAAGGCTACTTATACAAGTGCCCAGAGAACTTCCTGTATTGGTCGGTCTCCCGAAGATGTGAACGCTCTTCGCGGATACCGATGTGCGCAATCCTGGCTGAGCAACAAAATAAGGAATGGGACAAGCGATGGAATATTCCAGTAGAAGCAGCTAACGTGTCCGCCAGAAGTATTCTAATCTAAAATTGTATGAAAAATCGCTGAGAAACGTTCTCTTCATTTCGGTGGAAAAAATCCAGTGACGCGAACGATGGACAGTGAAAGTTCTCAGGACAAGCTCGTTTCTCGCGTGTAGTTACGGCTATTTCAAGAGGATAACATTTGAATTTAGAGTATTTCGCGAACCCATTTACAACATGGCTGCGGAAGATCGCACATGGATGTTCAGATCTTCAGCAGTCATCTTGTAATTAATTAGTGTGTATCAATGTAGGCTTAAGTGTTAATTGGTGAATATGATTGGCATTTTTCCTGCGATTTTCCGCAGCGAAATCGTAAAATCGTTGGAAGACTACATATCGTGAATGTCGGGGGTTTTGGTTGAGGGACTCGTATGCAATATTCGACTGTATTCAGTGATTTCTGTTATATATTTATGTCTCGTGACCGTCTGCTTCTATTTTTATAAAACTCGCATAAATGGCAAATAACTGCTCAAGAGAACAGAAGGAGGAAGTTGTAACAAAAAACAAAAATGTAGGAAGTTCGTAGGAGCTACATTGAATGCTATTGGTGCTTAAAGTTTTTATGAAACAATAATTATTTTCGGCACAGTATTCTGAATACAGTACAAAAAAATTGGGAAGATAATCTTGTATATATTAATTACGTCTTTGATATGATTCTAATCAATGCTTCCTTTATAATTAAACGCTTCTTTGCTGCCTTGTATTTCTTTTCTGATCGTCCATGATCATGAAGAGATGTTGGCATCATTTTCCCTAAAGGGAACGCCGTGTTTAATACATTTATCATGATTTATAATGAATACCCGAAATACGTTTAGTGTAGATACTGAGTCTGTATAAATATCGAGCGCATTTGCAATATTTCAGTTGCAAATTGATATTGATAAATAATAAGATCTCTAATAAAATGCAAAAATCCTATAAAATATTTAAATACACATCCCATTATTCCCCCTCACTAAATTATTAACAATAACATTCAATAATAAATCAGATGAATAATATTTTTTTGTCACAATTTCGAAAAATGCTTCAAATAAAAGTTGTTTTTCTTCTAATTTCGATATTTAATGAGTTACATATGATTATATGGCATTTTATTGATGTTGACAAAATCGGACCATCCCAGCGTCGAAATGGCGAACTTTTGACAAAAAATTTCGTTTTTCCTCAATTACTCCTAAAC